TATTTGTATTGAACCAGAATGCTGAACTATACATTCAACGTGATGGAGAAAAAGGGCCAGGGTGTAAAAAGGGAAGAACAAGTTCAACATTTTTATTTTACATATGGTTACATTAGCATAACAGAACTGCTAAGATTTAGATTAGATGCAAAATGAAAATAGTAGCAAACTCATTGTGATTGAACAACTCATAAACCGATAAGTCATTCCACTGTGCATCCCTCATTCAAGCACTCGGCACACTATTTGTGGTCATTTATTCTTAACTTGAACTTTTTAAATAGGTAAAAGACCAAGCTGGGCAGAATGCCTTTCTAAACCTTCTGAATATCATAAATTGGATTCGGAAGTCAGGAGTATTAGATTTAACTCCTCCTTAAAGAAAATATTTTATCATCCAGATATCTCCATTTAGTCTTTCATTAAACAAAATATATGGCTCCTCGACTTCAACTTTTTGTAGCATCAAGGTGATGGAATAAAAACATTTAAAACCAATGTTTATTGTAGCACATAGTATGTCGAAAAGAAGAACCACAGACAATAATTGTTGATATTTCACTCACATAATTAAATAAGTGGTAAAGTTGAAAACATACCCTCCCAAAACGATTTCTCCAAACAAAAAAAAATACAGAAAGGAACAGAATGAAATACCTATACAAAAAAGCAATCTTATGCTAGATACAAAAATTGGGATACAGAATTACTAGAATTACCTATGAACTAGAAGTAGGAGGAGAAGAAAGACAAGACACATTGAAAGAGTAATCAATAGTAGTATTGTGATTGCATCCTGCCACCTGAGAGCAAAAAAAAAAGGTATCGATCTAATCTCAAATTTCAAGAAATCTCAAATTGCAAGAAATACAGAAAGAAAGAGCATTGGACTTTCTTCCTTTTGTTATGGAAGACTTACCATCTATAAATCTAAAATTGAAATTAGGAGAATCTTGGCACGAAGGTAAAGTTATTGGCTTTGAAAGGTTATACATCTAATCAAAGAAATATTCTTTCCACTGGTGGGTATCCGGCTGCATACACGAGCCAATAATCCAAACCCTTTCCCCCACGCCCTTTCTCCAAATACTTATGTGTATAACTTTCCAAGGGAGAATTTTACATCATTTTCATTTTAACAAGTCAGGGAGTTTCAATATTCCTCCAAAATAATCAAGATATCATACCAAACCCTTGTAATGTGAGCCTTCAGGTATGAAATATACAAGACACCAGTCCAAAGGCACAATGCTGTCTCTTCAAAAAGGTACCACCTAAATAGTTTTGATAGGTAGGAAGAAAAAATCATCGTAAGAGATATTTTTACTAAGATATATACAAAATTAATAAAATAAGCAACTTCCTTGTACAATGCTGGCATGTTATTGATTACAAGGAGAACATATAGTCAAAGTCTTCACAAGGATATATAACATTTCTTTAGATGAGCTCTAAAAATAATCCCATTCATAAATTTCACAAGTGTTCAAGCATAATAAATTACAAGGGTTACACTAACACAGAGAGCATATCAATTGAGAATTGTTCTCGTGAGAACAAATTATTTTGGTCATACAACCATACATAGATGGTCCAGATTCAAATTGAATAAAATCAATCCTAGGCATGAATGTACCATTGTATGATCAATATTTGTTGTTATCTTAACTGATTCAAAGTACCTAAATTAACTGATGCTACTCTGTTTATTCCAATGCATGAAAGATAACTGAGGTCATCAAGCATACCTTATTGCAACTCTCAATGGACTTTTTGCATTCTCCCAACTTTAGAAGGCATGCAGCAACATTCAGGTGCAGCAAATTCTTCAGTCATGAGTGGAAGAAAGAGAAAGATTTAGTCTAAATTAAAATCAACCTAATCATAAGTTAGGTAAATTTGCTTCCCTTCTTTAATATGCTGGGAAAGAGACTAAAGATAACGTACCCGTGTATCTGCAAAAACTTTTCCGTGTTCTGCAGCCACCGTTGTTTGAGAAAATAATAGTAAAATCGTTAATCAAATCAATCAAACGTAAACGGCATTGCGTTTCTTGTGATTCGAGTAATACCAGATACTTTGATCCTTCCGCTTCGCGTAAGAGAGATTACGACGCCGTTTGCATCGAAGCTGCAGGTGAAACGGTTGGCCTCGACCGTAATCTGGCAGTTACCTGCATAGTGAGAAGGTGGAAAACAAAGTTACCTGAGGGACGTGGACGATCCGAACGTGGTGAAGTGCCACGAGATGTACGACCAGAACAGCGAAATCCAGGTGCTGCTGGAGTTCATGGACGGAGGCTCTTTGGAGGGGAAACACATCCCGCAGGAGCAGCAGCTGGTAGATCTGTCCAGGAAGATTCTCCGGGGGCTGGCCTACCTGCACCGGCGGTACATCATGCACCGGGACATCAAGCCCTCCAACACAGATACACGGGTCTAAATTAAAGTCCCGTTTGAAATAGCTTCAGCCACCGTCAAGGTTGAGAGTTATCGGAGGGCCGTCACTGAGAATTTGAACGCAAGAATGTGGAGAGAAGTGAGATAGAAGTGAGATAGAACCGAGAGAGAACTGAGAACTGGGAGACTGAAGGGCGCGCATGAATTGAGAGAGGACGTGCGCGCCTTAGTTTTGGGTCTCCATCTAAGTCAGTTATACACAAAAACGGTAGTAGACACTTAACATCTAAGTCGGTATTACTATAAATCGTCGTAGATATATTTGTGTAGGCTATTCTACTACGGTTATTTTCTAAACCGTCGTAGATTACGTTCATTTTATTTACAAAAATGCCACCGCGTCTTATTTTACATCATTTTTTAATAAACCGACTTAGATTACTCTTTTTGTAGTAGTGTGTTGATTGTGCAACTGTTGCTTGCTTCTTTGACGCCCAAGAGAAAAATCCAGATCCTAGTGAGAAGGCACATCCTGATGTACTCTTCATGTCATCTATTGATCCTGCCCAATCACTGTCGGTATAGCCAATCATCCTTGATTTGGTCATAGTTTTATACCATATACCAAACTCTCTTGTGCCTTGTAGATATCTCAATATTCTTTTTCCTGTTCCATAGTGAATTTGACTTGGCTTTTGCATGAATCTTAATAAAAGACTTTGTGGCATACATAATGTCTGGTCTTGTGGCTGTGAGATATAGAAGACTTTCGACTAGACTCCTGTATCGGGATGCATCAGCTTCTAATGCTCCATCCACCTTTTGTAGTTTCTCATTCGTCACTAGCGGTGTACTTACAGGTTTGCATCCGTACATATTAAATTTCTTTAGTAAAGCTTCTATATATTTCTTTTGTGATATGAATATTCCATCATTTCTCTGACTTACCTCTATACCGAGGAAGTAACTCATCAAGCCAAGATCAGTCATCTCAAAGGTCTTCATCATGTCTTATTTAAACTCCATCATCATATTTGTATTGGTTCCAGTATAAATAAGATCATCTACATATAGAGAGAGTAAGAGAGTATGCTGACCTTGAGTCTTGATGTATAGTGTAGGCTCACTCTTACTCCTCCTGAATCCATGATCAGTGAAGTACTGGTCAATCTTGCTATACCATGCTCGAGGAGCTTGCTTCAGGCCATATAAAGCTTTTTTCAGTCTCAATACTTTGCCTTCATGGCCTTTCATCACAAATCCTGGTGGTTGCTCCACATAGATCTCTTCTTCGAGTACGCCATTGAGGAATGCAGACTTGACATCCAGTTGATAGATGTTCCATCCTTTATGTGCTGCAAGAGCTATTAAAGCTCTTATTGTGTCTAGGCATGCGACTGGAGCAAATGTCTCATTGTAGTCTACACCTGGCTGTTGTGAGTAGCCTTTAGCGACCAATCTTGCTTTGTGTTTTTGTATAGTTCCATCAGGATTAAGCTTTGTTTTATATACCCATTTTACTCCAATGATATCTTTTCCATGAGGGCAATCTACGAGCTCCCATGTATTATTCTTCTCAATCATTTTAATTTCTTCTTCCATAGCCTTGACCCATACTTCTTGGTTTGCTGCCTCTTCAAAGCTTCCTAGTCCAAGTATGGCCAAGTTGCAGGTTTCATATATATCTACTAGTGATCTAACCCTTCTTGGAGTAGACTCAGGTGATGATTCTTCTTGTTGTGGAACTATTCTTGGAGATTCTGGAGAGATAACAATGTCTTGATTTTTGTCTTCCAGACTTGATGTAGTTGGTTGATTGATGGACATGTATATAGTCTTCTTCTCAATTCGTTCTTCTTCCCAGTTTCAAGTAGCATTTTCATCTACTTCAATGTCTCTACTGATTGTTAGCTTCTTTTTTTGAAGATTGTAGACTCGGTAGCCTTTTGATTGTGAGTTGTATCCCAAGAATATGCCTCGTACGGTCTTGTCTTCTAACTTATGCCTTTTTTCATCTAGCACATGATGTACCAGATAGATCCAAAGACCCTTAGGTGCTTAGCTGATGGCTTCTTCCCACTCCAAGCTTCTATTGGAGTCTTGTCCCGAACTGCCTTAGTAGGATATCTGTTGAGTAGGTAGACTGCTGTGTAGATTGCTTCAGCCCAGAATGTATTCGGCAGTCCTTTCTCCTTCAACATCGATCTTGCCATCTCCATGACTGTGCGATTCTTCCTCTCTAACACCATTTTGTTGTGGAGTATATGCGACTGTAAGTTTTCACTCTATGCCTTCATCTTCGCAAAATTTGTCAAACTCGCGAGATGTATACTCCTTGCCACGATCACTTCTAAGTACTTTTATTTGTTTTCCACTTTGCTTTTCGACAAGGGCCTTGAATTTCTTAAATATTCCAAAGACTTCTGACTTTGTCTTTAGAAAATAGACTCACGTCATTCTAGAAAATCATCAATGAAGAGGATGAAATACCTGTTGTTGGTGTGTGATGGTGTCCTCATCAGTCTACAAACATCTGTATGAATTAGCTCTAACAAGTCCTTGGCTCTCCATGTTTTGCTTGTCGAGAACGATAATTGGTGTTGCTTTCCGAGAAGGCATCCTTCACAAGCTTCATTATTTTCCTTTAGGTTGGGTAGATCCCTCATCATACCTTTTTGATGTGGAAGCTTTAAGGCATGAATATTGAAATGGCCAAATCTCCGATGCCAGAGCCATGAGTCATCAACTTATACCTTCATGGAAATATTAGTGCCACGGTTGAAGCTTAAAGGAAAGCTTCTATTTCTCTTCTCCATTTTTACTTGGCCAATCTCTACCCTTTTACTATCATAAATTTTGCATATATCTCTTTCAAAATGAAGAGAATACCCATTTTCCATCATTTGGCCAATGCTTAAAAGATTTTCTTTAAGATTTGGAACTAGTAACACGTCTTTGATGAGTCTCGTACCTTTCTTTGTCTCCACCACGACAGTGCCTTTGCCTTGAGACTCCACCATGGTGCCGTTTCCCAGTCGAACTTTGACTTTGACGGAGTTATCAATGTCTTTGAAGATGCTTTGGTCCTTGGCCATGTGATTGCTGCATCCACTATCCAAGTACCAGCTTCCATCTCCGTTGTCACAAGATTCTTGGTTAGCATAGAACAGACGTTGCTCTTGATTATGTTGTTCGGCAAAATTTACTTGATGTTTATTTTTGTTACGACAGTACTTCTCCACGTGACCGGGTTTATTGCAATAGTGACATATTGGCTTTCCACGATGCCAACAATCTTTTTCTGCATGTCCTGGCTTATTGCAAATACCACATGAAGGGTATTTATCTTTTTTGTTTCTAAAGAAATTTCTAGAATCTTTGTTTCTAGAATATTCTCTAGCATTTTTCTTTCCTCCATCTTCTTTATTTCTAGACTGTAATTTAAGCTTTGATTGAAATGCATTTTCAACTGAATTTGTATCGGGACGGCTATTTAATCTTGTTTCGTGCGCTCCAAGGAGACCAATTAATTTATTCACCGATAGAGAAGATGGATCCGAGGAAGTTTCTATGGAAGCTACAATGGAATCATATTTTTCCGTGAGAGTGATAAGAATTTTTTCTACCACTCTCTTCTCCTTAATTTATTTTCCATATAATTTCATTTTATTAACTATTTCTTTTATTCTTCCATAGTATTCTTCAATGGTCTCGGATTCCTTCATTTTAATGGTCTCAAATTCTCTTCTTAGATAGTGTAGCTTGACGGAGCGTACCTGTTCATTGCCTTCAAATTCTTCTTCCAAAATATCCCATGCCTTTTTTGCAGTATCGGCGTCCATGATCCTTCTAGCGATAGTTTCTCCCACAGCTTTTTGAAGAACAAATAATGCTTGGGCATCCTTTTGTTCACAGTCTTCTAACTTCTTCTGCTCCTCCTTAGACACAGTGCTAGTATTATCTGGTTTTGTATAACCAAATTGAACGATATCCCACAGTTTTTGTGAGATAAAATATGTCTTTAGTTTGAGCTTCCAAAGATCAAAATTTTCACTAGTAAAAACTAGTAGAGGGACAGATGAAAAATTAACTGTCACTAGTGGAAAAAAGAGCTACTACGTCTCTTCATTTACGTCGGAAACTAGCACACCCGACGTTGTAAAAACGCGGTGGCAGTTCCGTAAATAAGAGGAGGAAATTTACGTCGGACGAAGATGGGTCTGACGTAAATGAGATAATTTACGTCGGATAGCTAAAGCAGCCGACGGAAATTATCTCATTTACGTCGGACCCATCTTCGTCCGACGTAAATAACTCCTTAAATGAAGAGCGCGCACTACAGATTTCAAATCATGGCATTCTTCTTCATCTTCACGTTCTCCCGCGCGTTGTGGATTCTTCCTCATCCCTCCGCCTCCTCCTCAAATCGTGGTTGTCTTCCTCATCTTCACGTTTTTCTGTTTTTCTTCTTCGGAGTTGCGTTGTTTCTTCTTCGCGTGTTGATGGAAATGGCTTAACCATACATCCATCTATTTTTCTATGAGGTAGTGACCACTCCTTAACCGATGTTTGTGTTTTCTGGGATGTATTTTTCGTAATAATGTTTGTGTTACATTTCGTGTTTGTGAAGCTGCAGAAGGAAGTGACCACTACCTGGGTCTATCAAGCAGAACGGGCCGTTTTGCTTGGAGAACGGCCTATTCTGCTAGCAGAACGGCCCGTTCTCCATGGAGAACAGACCGTTCTCCAAGCAGAACGGGACGTTCTCCAAGGAGAACGGGCCGTTCTCCAAGCAGAACAGGACGTTCTCCAACGAGAACGGGCCGTTCTGCTTGCACTCGTTTTTCTTTTTTTTTTTTAAATTTTCATGACTTTTTTACGTCGGACCTTGGCATGTCCGACGTAAATTTACGTCGGTTTTTGGCCCCCGACATAAATTTTACGTCTCCCGTATTGACGTCTGATGCTTTTCCGACGTAAAAGGCTTCAAATACCTGACGTAAAAGGGGTCTTTTGTACTAGTGTGTATTGGAGGCCATAGATCAAAGAAAAATGTTTATAAGCATAATAGAAGAGAATTTTAGAAGTAGTTGGGTGATTTTTCTACGCCCAGTAGATGACCGAACGTAACTCTGGTACCACTGTTAGTATATGATAATTGTTAAGGGAATAGGTGGAGGAATAATAGAAACTTATTTGTATTGAGAGAGTAGTAGTAGTAGTGGTAATTGTTGTTGATGTTGTTGATGTTACAATGAAGTCCCAATTTGCCTATTTATAGGCATGATGCTCCATCTCTAGATGATGGTGGAAACATCTAGAATTTTCTAAACTTTTCAAGTCTCTACACTCTTTTAGATTTTTCTAGAGACTTATACAACTTTTCTTATGTTTCTAGAATTTTCTTTTTCTTTCTTATACATCTTATCTTATGTTTCTAGAATACTCTTTTCTTTTCTAGAATTTTCATCATAATTTAACAGGCCTGTTAAGGATTAGCACTTAACCTAATTTGTCATAGGTGATCTTCAATTGATGTTTTGGAGTATTAGATTGATGAAGATTCCTAATTCAGAAGCGTGTTAATAAAATTTGGGCTTTATGATGTTCTAAACATTCAGAGTGAAAGGAGTTCTCTTTACACTTTGTTGTTGTATTTTCAATTTGTATTGTCTCTCCAGATAGAGTTACTTGCTAAAGAAAAAAAAATTAGTTTGGTGTTGTTTTCTTCTATAGTTTATTATGAACAATGACAAAGTGTATGCATTGGTTTATTGTTTGTAATTGATCCACCATTTAATTCTAATTGTGTTTGTTTGTTGAGTTGGTTGGTGGTGTTAAATGTGATGCTAATTGTTTTGATGTGATTTTGAAGTCATTTAGAAATCATATAAGTAACTTGTATTTTAAGCAAGTAAATTAAGATAAAAATTTATTTTATATATGTGAATATTATTAACAATATCAAGCAAGACACAATCAATGGGATTAAATTGACAGATAAAGAGCAAACAGAATCAACTATTATTAAGGAAACAGATTGCTACAAATCAAAAACAAATCAGCCAATATTCAGGAAATCTGGTGCAGCAAATCAATTATAATTAGGATTGTTTTATTTCAAATAATGGAGCATCATTTGCTACCTTATTTAGAAATCAGCCTTTATCACTATTTGTAATATATTTATCCTCTCACCCTTTGTTTTCAAGTAGTGTTCAAGTTTCTGTTTTACAAAAGATTAAATTCATCTTCCAATTTTCTTCTTGGTATCAAGAGCCTTTGTGAACACCATGACATCCTTATCTCTCAATGTTGGTAATTTCATTACCCTCAAACTCACACTAGCAAACTACCCATTGTGGCGTGAACAAGCTTTAGCACTTGCAGAAAGTCAAGATCTGGTGGGACATCTCACAAATGAAGATTCTACCCCTACTCAATACACCACTCCAGATTCCAATAACACTACAAACTCAGGAATATTTACCCCAAAATTAACTAATGAATTTGTCACCTGGCGCAAGGCAGATCGTCTTCTTCGAGGATGGATAATCGGAACACTTTCTGAAGAAGCTCTTGGCCTCGTTATTGGCCTAGACACATCCTATGCAGTTTGGGATGCACTTAAGGATGCATACGCAGAAGATTCTCAAGAACGTGAATTCACGCTCCGCCAACAAATTACATATCTCCGCAAAGAGGATGATCGCACTGTTGGAGAACACATTCCCATCTTTAAAGGCCTATGTGATAACTTAGCAGCTATTGGGAAACCTATCCCAGATAAGGAAAAAGTTTTCTACAATACCTCACTTTTACCCGTCCTGACCTTTCATACAGTGTTAACTATGTGTCTCAATTTATGCTTGCTCCAACTATTATGCATTTCAAAATGGTTCGGCGTATCTTGCGATATGTTAAAGGCACTATTAATGTAGGTTTACATTTTACTTCTAAAACTACACTTGATCTTTTTGCCTTTTCAGATGCAGATTGGGCAGGTTGTCCTACCACTTGACGTTCTACCACTGGCTATTGGACTTTTCTTGGAGGCAACCTCATATCGTGGTGCGCAAAGAAACAACCCACCGTCTCTCGCTCTAGCACCGAAGCTGAATATCGGGCTATGGCTAATACTGTAGCTGAACTCACATGGCTGACATTCCTTTTGAAAGACCTTCGCATCTCGCTTACTTATCCTCCCACTCTTTACTGTGACAATATTAGTGCTCTTCATCTCACCATCAATCTTGTCTTTCATGCCCGAAGCAAACATATTGAACTAGACTATCATTTTGTTCGTGAACGAGTTGCTCTTGGACTTCTTGTCACTCGCCACGTCCCCACCAATCATCAAGTTGCAGATCTCTTTACTAAACCTATGTCAAAGGCTACACTTATGCATTTTTGTCCCAAACTCTGCCTTCAACCTCGGCCTCGTTTGCGGAGGGTATTAACAATATCAAGCAAGACACAATCAATGGGATTAAATTGATAGATAAAGAGCAAACAGAATCAGCTATTATTAAGGAAACAGATTGCTACAAATCAAAAACAAATTAGCCAATATTCAAGAAATCTGGTGCAGTAAATCAATTATAATTAGGATTGTTTTATTTCAAATAATGGAGCATCATTTGCTACCTTATTTAGAAATCAGCCTTTATCACTATTTGTAATATATTTATCCTCTCACCCTCTGTTTTCAAGTAGTGTTCACGTTTCTGTTTTACAAAAGATTAAATTCATCTTCCAATTTTCTTCTAATATGTCTTTAATTTATTTGTTATAGATTATATTATCTCATAATAAATGTGGAATTCCCGGACAAGTAAGGAAGCAAAAGAGTTGGCTGTGGTGCCCGTGGTTGTATCTGTCTATTTTTTATTTCTATCTGCAAAGTTGTAGAATGCTTTTTTCTGGTTAGACACATGTTTTCGAAAAGAAAACTATGAGTGTGTTATACCATAAAATTTGGGTGAAGCCTAATGAATCTTGATAGATTTTCATTGAAGTCTAACGGTTCATTATTGGTAATTTTATTAATTACCTCATTAATCTAGGTATGTTGATCTAAAAGCATGCATCTCTGAATTGCCTAAGCACATTTGCAAACCCCACCTGATAGGCTTCAAAGCACAAAGCTGAATTGATGCTTTCCCATCCAGAGTAGAGCTTTTCAGGGCATAATCAAAATGCTGGAATGATATAATAGGAAGCTACAATATATATTAATATTTTTGGAAAATTAAAAAAAATTATAATATATATATATATATATATATATATATATATATAATTTGTGTAGAAAAATTGCATGTAAAATTTTCTGTGGATTTTAAATTCACAAAAAACTAATTTGCAAATTTAAAAATTTGTAGGAAATTTATCTATAGATTTTAAAATTATAAAAAAATAATAATAATAACCTGCGGATTTTCTTGTAGATTTAAAATCCACAGGAAATTTACTTTTGGATTTTCTTGCAAAATTTAAATTTGCTATAAACTGTTAGATTTTCTTGTAAATTTTAAATTCACATAAAACTTTTTGACATCGTAGAAAAATGTGTAGGAAATTTCCTACGAATTTAACATCTGTAGGAACTAGTTACCCTTACAGACGAAGGATTTATCAGGGAAAAAAATCCGTTGTAAAGTTCATAGGAAACTTGTTTCCCTCGAATGCTGATGCAAAATCTACAAAAAATAAAAAAAATAAAAAAAAATCTGCATGTAATCGGAGAATTTCTTGTAGTTATAGAACAAATAATTTCATCATAAATTCTTCATACAATAATTTTTCTTCATAATATCATTTTTCCAAGAGATTTACCACAAAAAATATTAATTATAGCAAATTAAAACTGTAATTTATTCTCCTTCACAAGAAGTACCTTTTGTTCAAACGCATGATATGCTCCTTAGGGTAAAGGATGTGTGAAGCGCAGGCCAATGGGATTTTGCATCGGTTTGTACATGGTTATCGTCTGATGTGAAGACCAGGTTGAGAAACATGAATGTGTGGTTGCACCGAGATTCTTTGGATACTATAGTTTGGACTAGGAATATGTTTGGTGTTTATTGCGCGTTCAGGGTATTAATGGTTACAAGGGTCAAATAACTCTACAAACTCGTGGAAGTGGATTGAGAGACTACTATTAGTTGAGAATATTATGTTTTTTCTATGGCAGCTAAACATTGATG